ACACACACACACAGGTATCCCACACTCACACACACAGGTATACACACACGCACACACAAAAAAGAGGAGGAAGAGGAAGTGGGCAAAGAAGACCTGAATTCTGTTCCACGTCGCATACATACATACACACACATTCATACTTACATTCTCCCTCTCTTCCACTACTTTTTTGAACAATTTGATAAACAAAAGTAAAACATGTTAACCCAAAATATAAAATAAATACCTATGAGTCTATATGATTGCAATAGGTCATGGGTAGAGCAGTTGTCTAGCATGTAAGGCCCTAGGTTCAATCCCCAGTACTGTAAAAAGCATGAAAATTAATAATAATTAAATATTTAATATGAAATAGAGACAAATGGTCAAGTCATGGCAATAAAAGGGAAAATAGATAATATATGTGTTTTTATTTTGCTTTGTTTTCTTGATACACAGGGGCTGATGTAGCCCAGCCTGGCCTCAAACTCACCATGTAGTCAAGGCTAGCCTTGAACACCTAATATTCCTGCCTCTACCCTTGAATGGATTATAGGCATACACCACTATGCCTGGCTCTACATTTGGTTTTTCTACCAGATACTATGCATTGTACTTGATTCTATAACTTCTACTTGATTCTAGTTCAAATCCCAAGAAAAGATGGTATTCTGTCTTTTTAAAATTCTATTACTCTTTTTTCTCTCCACGTTTTTTCAGAGCACCATCTTCTACTGGCTATCTGCTGTCTCCTAGTCCTGTTGGCATATACATTTCTCCCTCCCCTTCTCTGCTTCTGTAGCCCAGGCTGACCTAGACATTACTGGTTAGCCTAAGCAGGCTTCGAATTATCAGATAATTTTCCCACCACAGCTTCCAAGTGCTGGGGTGATAGACAGAAGCTATCATTCCTGACTGTGTTTCTTCTTAAATAACTGTCCTGACTAATGTAATTCCATTTCCTCAGCCTTCCGAAATGCTTATAGCTTCTTCATCAGGGATAAAACCGGCTGTATTGATTCACATGGATTGATGGCCACCTTAGCTAAACTGGGGATGAATCTAACCACCTATGACATCTATAACGAATTAAAATGTGCTGATATTGACAGTGAGTATTTTGACTTATTATTATTATTATTTTCCCATAAAATACTTCTATGAATATCTATGTTATCATTTATCATATAACTTCAAGAAATAACTCTCCCTTATTTACCAAAAAATATACCTCTAAACAAAAGTAAGGTTATCTTCTCTAGTCTCCATCTCACTTTCCATGGTTTCAATTAACTGGGTCAACTGTGGTCCAAAAATATTAATATTTGTCTAAACCCTTTCCAGAGAAAAAGACCACAGTAATGTAACTTTTTATAATAATATATTGTTGAGGCTGGGCATGGTGGCACACATGGGCTGATGCACTGGTATGCCTGTGTGCACACACACACTAATAGTGATAATAATGGTAATAGTAATTTTTAAATTAAGAGATAATTAAAAGTTGGAAAAAAATGAGAATGGGAGAAAAATAACAAGCATCCTTAACCTAAGCCCTATTATCACATTACTATTCTTATTTCCTTTCTCTCTCTTCTTTATATAAAAATTGTGTATCTATATAAACCTTTAGAAATATGCTTGTTCTGAGCTTGGATTCCTGTTTCAGGGGATGGTAAGATCAACTTCTCTGACTTTATAGAGGTACTGACAGATAAGAAACTCTTCCTCAAGGCTGTGGGTGAGTAGATGTCACTGGGCAGCCCCGCCACTGCATAGAAAACACGACCCCTTAGGTCTCCAGTCAGAAGACAAATGCATAAGGGAGAGTCCAGGACGTGATTTTCTTTGTATTTTCCCTACAAAATAATATGAAATAAACTAACTGATAATATCAGAGTTGCAATTTGAATAAATCAAGCAGCTACTGCCGCCCTGCAGGAGACACTGCTTTTGTCTCTAGTGAGAGCACTAAGAAAATGACAAATGCAGACAGTTTAGTTTTCCTTTCGTTTTAATTTATTTTTATTTTATGTGTATGGGTATCTTGCCTTGCATGTCTGTATCACATTACCCAGAACTGCAATTACAGATGGTTATCAGCAGCCATTTAGGTGCTGGGAATCAAACCCAGTTGTGGTAGAACATTATTTTAAGGTGTGTGACTTTTGTTTCTGCTGCATTTGTTTAACTCCATGAAGCTGTTACTGTGCTGTCTAAAACACCTGATGGCCTAATAAAGAGCTGAACAGCCAACCAATAGTGAGGCAGTAGCCAGTATAGACAGGGCTGGCAGGCAGAGTATAAATAGAAGGCAAAAGAAACAGGAGTAGTAAGAAAACAAGGAGAGGAAAACTGCAGGGGTTGGCCACACACACACACACACACACACACACACACACACACACACACAGAGTCCAAAAACCCAAAAAAGCAAAAACTTCATGTTACACCCAGGTCCTCTGGAAGAGCAGTCAGTGCTCTTGGCCACTCGGCCATCTCTCCAGGCCCTTGTTTTCCTTCATAGTGTGTGAGTTCTTAACTAAGCACATGGACTACTTCTTTTTCTAGAGCTTGGGTGACTCACTGCTTCCGTGAGAGGCTGAGAAGGTTAGAAAGCTGGCTTTCACATGTGGCCATCAGCCTCTCCTGCTCTGTTTCTGAACTTAACAGGCTGTCTTGGAAAACCTGACCTTTCCCCAAACAGAACATTTTTAATGTTTTACCTTCTTTCTAGCCCCCTCCCAATTTAGTATTGTTATAAATTCTCAGTAAAATTTTAAGAGATGGTTTTCTCAGAAGACATTTTGAAATTTCTCTTCTCTGTTCCCTCTATAGTTCCAGAAAGGAAACTGTGTTTGGATTTAGCTAACAACCCAGGAATCCTGTTATTTGAAATCCTATCAAAACTTGTAGAGACTTCATCCCTGAACAGAAGGGATATAATAGAGCTGGTAAGGTAAGTGGCAACAGAACAGGTAAAGGCAGCTTACTGAGGATGTGTCACCAGCATCCTGCTTCACAGAGGCCAATCCAAAACAAAAGAAAGGGTCAGGGCAAAAGGCTACATGCCACAACACTCTGAAATCGTAAGACTGAGCCCACACCATGCTGAGGCTCCACATGGGCATAAGACATCAAAAACAAAACAAAACAAATCTTCAGCCATCCCTAACCCAAGACAAGCTAGCTATTTTCTTCACTACTCTGTCTTCATTTCGTCACCTACAAAGGTAGCAACGCCCCCTGCCTTAAAGGGCAACTGTGGGATGACACAGCGCAGCACAGGCGAAGCACAATCAGGGTTACTTCTCACACTGAGGAATAAACAGAATAAAGAGGGTGTGCTTGTAATTTAATCGAGTCCTTACCGAAAGAGTGCACAAAAAATTTCAGAAAGCAGTTCAAATGCTCGCCCAAGAGTGGGGTGCTAATGTTAGCCCAGTGACCTGGGCTTGTGGCCTCCAGCACTGCCTCTCACTCCTATGTGGACAGGACACCTTTGCTAACACTGCTATTTTTATTGAAAGTGGACTGTGTGGTTGTTGTTTATCTGGTAATCTTATGAGGTTGTTTTTTACCTGCTGAAAAATTTCCAAATCCTGGGAAATAGAGACCCAAGATCCAAGAATTCATTAAGACCCTTACTAGATACAGTGAAAAAAAGTCATCTCAAGGGCATCAAAATACAAGATAAACAGACATGGTGGCAAATGCCTTTGGCCTAGCACATGGGAGACAGAGGTAGGTAGATTTCTATGAGTTCAGAAACAGCCTGGTCTACATATCAAGTTCCAGGACTACACAATGAGACCCTGTTTCCACAATAAATAAAGAAATAAACAAATCAAAAAAGTGTAAGACAAAGGAAAATCTAAAGAAAAAAAAACAGCATTGAAGCATATAAAGAAATCCCTAGGGGCTGGAGAGATGACTCAGAGGTTAAAAGCACAAACTAGTTTTCCAGCAACCACATAGTGGCTCACAACCATTTGTAATGAGATCTGGTGCCCCTTCTGGCCTTCAGGCAGGCATACATGCAGACAGAACACTGTATACATAATAAACAAATAAATAAATAAATAAATCTTTAAAAAAAAAAAAAGGCATGCCTTTAATCCCAGCACTCCGGAGGCAGAGGCAGGTGGATCTCTTCGAGTTCGAAGCCAGTCTGGTCTACAGAGTGATTTCCAGGACAGGCTCCAAAGCAATGCAGAGAAACCCTGTCTCAAAAAAAAAAAAAACAAAACAAAAAAGAAGAAGAAAGAGATTAAGAAAGAAAGAAAGAAAGAAAGAAAGAAAGAAAGAAAGAAAGAAAGGAAAGGAAAGGAAAGAGAGAGAGAGAGAAATCCCTATTACAGTACCAGCAGACTTGTCTCCAGAAATCTTACAAACCAAGTCAGAATGGAATGATTTGTTCAAAATGTTGAAAGAGAATACTCAACAACGAAGAATTCTACACCTAGCAAAGCTGCCCTTCAGAAATTAAACAGAAAGACAAACACTGAGGGAATGAATCGCTACCCAGCCTGGCAACTATGTTCAATTCCTGGGACCCACATGGTAGAAGGAAATAGTTCCTGCAAGTTGACCTGTGAGCTACACGCACAGGTGTACTAACAAACATGAATGCACATGCGTGCACATACATGCATACATATACATTAATTAATAAATGTATCCAGCAGTGTTGGTACACACCTTTAATCCCAACACTCAGGCAGAAGCAGGTGAATCTCTGTGAGATCAAGGCGAGTTTGGTCTACAAAGTGAATTCCAGTACAGTCAGGGTTGTTACACAGAAAAACCCTGTCAAAACAAAACAAAAAAAATTAATAAATGTTAATGATGCCAAAAACTATAAAAAGAGACTGAGACCGTTCTTCTGTAAATGATAAAGGAATCAGTAGAGAGGAAATAACAGCGGAGGCTGCAGCTCAGCATCTAGAGTACTTGGCTGGCACGCACAAGGTCCTGAGTTCAGTTCCCCCACACTGGAAAACTGGTCATAAGCTTCCTAAAAGAAATTAAGAAAAGGAAAAAGGGATCCTGTGTAGCTGAGTGGTAGCCTGCTTTCCTAATATGCACAAAGGCCTGGGTTTGATCCCAGAGTGTAGGAAACATTCAAATGCTATTTCCAGGCAGGCATAGAGGCTCATGCTGTGATCCCACCGCTCTGGAGTCTGAAGCAGAAGTGAGAAGTGACACCATGAGAACAATGCCAGCCTAGGATACAAAGTGGGACCCTGTCTCAAAAAAGGAAAAAAAAACAAAAACAAAAAAACCTGCGTTTTAAAACCCAATACAAAGTACTGCAGTATATGGCTTCTTCTTCGAGGGTGTCGCCAGGAGTAAGGAGCCCATGCTCTTGTAAATAACCCTTCGCCAGGACCCTGTAAGCAACCCTAAAGACACACACTGAGTCTTCAAGCCAGAAAGAAAGAGAGGGAAAGAAGGTAAGGATGAGGGGAGAGGAGAGGGAGACAGAGAGGAAGGGAAGGGGTGAGGAGTGGGGACGGAGGGGGAGAGAGTGACAGAAGGGGGACTAAAGTGGAAAGAAAAGGGAGCCAGAGGGGAACAGGAGACGGTAGCTGGGTGAATGTATGATAAAAATACACGTACGAAAACGCCATGACGAAACCTGTTATTATTATGTATGATTAACATATGCTAATAAGTTTTAAATAGATTTAAAATAAACATTAATCAACATCTATAACTGGCAGTTTGGTGTTCTTTTTTTTTTCCTAACAATTCTTAATTCCATTTCTGAATTACTGTATTTTCTCTTTAAGCTATTTTCGAAAAAAATTCCGGGAAAGCTACACAGAAATCCTGAGCAGTCCGTACTCGAAAAGGGGCTTTAAGGCAGATGTATGCACTCCTCCGCGCTCAAGCACCGCTGCCTTTGCCAATTCTGCCAGGGTCTCGATAATGAAAGAAAAGGATTTGTATAAGTTTCTCGAAGCACTCAAGCGTAAGAGCCGTTTTCCCTCTCCACTGTTAAGATTGACCTCCCTGTGACTGGTCAGAAATAAACCCCAGAGTTCCAGAGCAGGGCCCGAGGCTCTTGGAGTCACTACTCTGTCACACAGACAGCATTTAGAAGCAGAGGCCCCCCTGACTGAGTGAAGTCTGGGGATGGGTGTGGTGTGGGAACAGGAGACTGAGGCAGAGAAGCCAGGGTCACAAGGGGAGCAGAAAGTGGGCTGAGCTCTGTATGCTTGCCATTACGGGAACTCTTTACATCATTTATAATGCCACTTTTGTTTTTATCTTTTTAGGGTGTGATCTTCCTTCAGGTAGCCCATACTCAAAAATACCGATCTTTCCATTGTTCCCTGATTTGGACTCCACGGTGATGGGTAGACCGTTCAAAGACATACAGAAGTTAGAGACGCTAAAGAGAAAGGAGCCTCTCAGTTTCTTTGAGGACTATTTTTTCCATAAAAGAGATTGGAAAGCACAGGTAAGTTTTAATCTGTCATACTAGATAATTTAAATACTTCCATTTGTAAGAACCCAACTCTAGCTGGGCTATGGTGGGTGCAGGCCTTTAATCCCAGCACTCGGAGGCAGACGCAGGGGGATCTCTGTGAGATCGAGGCCAGCCTGGTCTACAGAGCTACACAGAGAAACCCTGTCTCAAAAAAAGAAAGAAAGAAATTTCTGACCAGGCAGTGGTGGCACATGCCTTTAGTCCCAGCTCTCAGGAGACAGAGGCAGGCAGATCTCTGTAAGTTCAAGGCCAGCCTGGTCTACAGAGCTACACAGAGAAACCCTGTCTCAAAAAAAGAAAGAAAGAAATTTCTGACCAGGCAGTGGTGGCACATGCCTTTAGTCCCAGCTCTCAGGAGACAGAGGCAGGCAGATCTCTGTAAGTTCAAGGCCAGCCTGGTCTACAGAGGGAGTTCCAGGACAGCCAGCACAGTTATACAGAGAAACCCTGTTTCAAGAAACAAACAAACAAAAATTCTGGTTCTGTTTTTGTAAAACATGGTCACACGGTAGCCCAGGCTGGCCTGGAACTCATGTCAGTTTTCTTGCTGTAGTCTCCCAAGGGCTGGCTTTACACAACTTCATACTAATACTCTTCCCCATTGTTAAGTCTTTTTATAATTAATGTCAAAAGTTAGCATACAAACTAATGGGTTTCACTATGGCATGTTACACATATGTATAATTATGTCTTTGTTATATAATTCAAACTAAAATGTTTTACTGATCTATTTTTTATGTGCATAAAGGCCGCAACTGTAAAACCTATCAAGTCCGCCTCAGGCTATTCAGATGACATCTTAGCCATTGACCAACTATTCAAGAAGAAGCAGCATTGGACAGTGGCTGATGCAGTGGCCATCAAACAGCATGTGAGTACTCCATGTCAGACGCCTCCCCAGACTGCACTGTCAAAGGTATTTTCTACTGGGAAAACTCTACCTCCAAAAACAAAAATCCCCACTTTATGCGAACTGTGTCACTCCCAGAACTCTCCAGAGATAGCATTACTGGAGGGGCTCAGGTAAGAGGAGAGGAAAACACACAGAATACAAGGACCACAGAGGTGTGACTTGTAAAGGCCAAGGGAGTAGAAGCATCAAGAGCATGCTGTTAACAGCAAATGCAGGAGGAGGGTGGAATGCAGTAAATGCGCCCTGTCCTTCTCTGTGGAGTTGCTAAGATGTTAGACCATAGCAAAGTGGAAGTGTGTGTTCTAGAGCCTCGCTGCCCATGCCTTAGTGTATGTGTGTGTGTGTGTGCGTGCATGCAAATGTTTGAGCATGTGTATGCCAGAGGTCAGCCTCAGCTGTTATATTCCTTAGGTATCTTCTGCTTTTTTTTTTTTTTTTGACAATAATCAAACTCTTGACACCTACTCCCAGTTTTCTACTCACACGGCAACCTCATAGTGCCCACTCACACACCCACTCATAAATGTGTATCCACTCACGCACACACTCATACATGTGTATCCACTCACACACCCACTCATACATGTGTATCCACTCACACACCCACTCATACATGTGTATCCACTCACACACCCACTCATACATGTGTATCCACTCACACACCCACTCATACATGTGTATCCACTCACACACCCACTCATACATGTGTATCCACTCACACACCCACTCATACATGTGTATCCACTCACACACCCACTCATACATGTGTATCCACTCACACACCCACTCATACATGTGTATCCACTCACACACCCACTCATACATGTGTATCCACTCACACACCCACTCATACATGTGTATCCACTCACACACCCACTCATACATGTGTATCCACTCACACACCCACTCATACATGTGTATCCACTCACACACCCACTCATACATGTGTATCCACTCACACACCCACTCATACATGTGTATCCACTCACACACCCACTCATACATGTGTATCCACTCACACACCCACTCATACATGTGTATCCACTCACACACCCACTCATACATGTGTATCCACTCACACACCCACTCATACATGTGTATCCACTCACACACCCACTCATACATGTGTATCCACTCACACACCCACTCATACATGTGTATCCACTCACACACCCACTCATACATGTGTATCCACTCACACACCCACTCATACATGTGTATCCACTCACACACCCACTCATACATGTGTATCCACTCACACACCCACTCATACATGTGTATCCACTCACACACCCACTCATACATGTGTATCCACTCACACACCCACTCATACATGTGTATCCACTCACACACCCACTCATACATGTGTATCCACTCACACACCCACTCATACATGTGTATCCACTCACACACCCACTCATACATGTGTATCCACTCACACACCCACTCATACATGTGTATCCACTCACACACCCACTCATACATGTGTATCCACTCACACACCCACTCATACATGTGTATCCACTCACACACCCACTCATACATGTGTATCCACTCACACACCCACTCATACATGTGTATCCACTCACACACCCACTCATACATGTGTATCCACTCACACACCCACTCATACATGTGTATCCACTCACACACCCACTCATACATGTGTATCCACTCACACACCCACTCATACATGTGTATCCACTCACACACCCACTCATACATGTGTATCCACTCACACACCCACTCATACATGTGTATCCACTCACACACCCACTCATACATGTGTATCCACTCACACACCCACTCATACATGTGTATCCACTCACACACCCACTCATACATGTGTATCCACTCACACACCCACTCATACATGTGTATCCACTCACACACCCACTCATACATGTGTATCCACTCACACACCCACTCATACATGTGTATCCACTCACACACCCACTCATACATGTGTATCCACTCACACACCCACTCATACATGTGTATCCACTCACACACCCACTCATACATGTGTATCCACTCACACACCCACTCATACATGTGTATCCACTCACACACCCACTCATACATGTGTATCCACTCACACACCCACTCATACATGTGTATCCACTCACACACCCACTCATACATGTGTATCCACTCACACACCCACTCATACATGTGTATCCACTCACACACCCACTCATACATGTGTATCCACTCACACACCCACTCATACATGTGTATCCACTCACACACCCACTCATACATGTGTATCCACTCACACACCCACTCATACATGTGTATCCACTCACACACCCACTCATACATGTGTATCCACTCACACACCCACTCATACATGTGTATCCACTCACACACCCACTCATACATGTGTATCCACTCACACACCCACTCATACATGTGTATCCACTCACACACCCACTCATACATGTGTATCCACTCACACACCCACTCATACATGTGTATCCACTCACACACCCACTCATACATGTGTATCCACTCACACACCCACTCATACATGTGTATCCACTCACACACCCACTCATACATGTGTATCCACTCACACACCCACTCATACATGTGTATCCACTCACACACCCACTCATACATGTGTATCCACTCACACACCCACTCATACATGTGTATCCACTCACACACCCACTCATACATGTGTATCCACTCACACACCCACTCATACATGTGTATCCACTCACACACCCACTCATACATGTGTATCCACTCACACACCCACTCATACATGTGTATCCACTCACACACCCACTCATACATGTGTATCCACTCACACACCCACTCATACATGTGTATCCACTCACACACCCACTCATACATGTGTATCCACTCACACACCCACTCATACATGTGTATCCACTCACACACCCACTCATACATGTGTATCCACTCACACACCCACTCATACATGTGTATCCACTCACACACCCACTCATACATGTGTATCCACTCACACACCCACTCATACATGTGTATCCACTCACACACCCACTCATACATGTGTATCCACTCACACACCCACTCATACATGTGTATCCACTCACACACCCACTCATACATGTGTATCCACTCACACACCCACTCATAAATGTGTATCCACTCACGCACCCACTCATAAATGTGTGTCCATGAGTTCTGAGATTGGGAGACACCACAGAGAGAAAAGCATAGTTCCTATTCTAAGAAAGCTTGGGGTGAGGGTAAAGTCCTGGAGACGTGGACAGCAGCAATGCACTGGGATGTGTGGAACTTGAGAACACAAAGTCATGGGCAGCTGACTCCTGTCTGGCTATTAACACATAAACACACAAGTAAATGCAGGCCACCTGTGGCCAGAGACCTCCAGCACCAGATCAGCTGCTCCAAGAGCTAAGAAGCTTGAAAGATCATTAGTTTAGCCTCCCTGTATCTCAGCCATGGGACAACAGCAGGGATCTCTGTGTCAGGTGAAGAATCTAGGAGGAACATGTAGGCGGTTTCAATCTCCTTTGTTTAGCAGCACCCACCCGTATACTAATAACTAATGTGCCCCAGCCTAGACTTCTTTCTTGTACGTTGGCCTTACCTCACTCACCATCTGAGAACCATCCCACCCCCACCCCACCCCCGTATGCTAGGTCTCATAACACACCACGCTCAACATGCCCCATGCTCACTCATCTACTGCATCAGCCTGGCTCTCCCCTGAGGATGCTGTTTCTCAGTTGTTGATACTACCATTTACTAAGTCACTGAAGCCACCCTCAACGTTGATTTTTTTTTCCTTACTCCTTACCAGTCACTAACCTTAGTCCAGCTCATTCTGGGATGCTTTTCCCTCCAATCTATCCCTGTCCTGCTTAAAGGTAAGTGCTTGAGCTGAAGGTATAGCTCAGTGGCAGCCCTCTTGCCTGTCACGGACAAAGCCCGGGGTTTAATTTCCAGTTCTAGGAGCTGGGAAGGATGGGTGCAGGAAACGCTTCCAAGGAGCACCCCAGAGATGGAAGCAAGATTACAAGTTGAAGAGCAGCCTGTGCTGCATAAAAAAAATAAAAATAAAAATAAAAATAAAAGTTCAAGTCCACCCTGGGTTACTGAAACTTCCCCTCCAAGAGTGGCAGAGTTTTCCACTACTCTATATAACTGAGGGTCAGGAACAGCCCCCAGGGCATGCTCTCTGTGAAGGGCTGCCCTCCCCTGCACTGAGCCCACTCACTCCTCCTCCACCACTGCACTCACTTTCACCAAGATGCTCCAACTCTCCTGCCAAGTCCAGGGTGGTTATTGTCTTCAAGCACTTGTTTATGTGGCCTCTTCTTCCTAGGGCTCCTTCCCATCACCCCTTGATACCTCCACCTTAAAATCCTTAAGGATTTGCTCAGCTCAGCATCTACTCCCTGTCTTAGGCTGAATCTGGCACCTACACATCCTAACTTAGCCCCTCGCTTCTCTCCTGGCACTCGCTCTGGAGAGCAGGCTGGCCTGGAACTCACAGAGACACGCCTGCCTCTGCCTCCTGAGTTCTGGCATCAAAGGCGTGTGCCACTATACCCAGCTTCCAAGTGATACATTTTCATTTCTACCAACTCCTAGCTCATAGTCCTATGCTACCCCATACGCTGTCTCAGTGACTTTCACATGTGTATCTCCCAAGCCATCAATAACTATGGTTTATAAATTAAAGGCAGTTCGGGTAACCACACTAAGTTAATATCTGCCCTCTCGATGCAGGTAAAGAGAGCCACAGATACCTATAATTTAGGGATTGCCCTTGAGCACCGGAAAGAAATGCTGAATCTCTGGAAAAAGATCCGAGGGGATTTGATTGGAATCGAAACCAACAACGAGTCCTTTTACAACACCTTTTCTACATACACATGGTCCTGGAATGTCTGCCAAGAGCTGCTTTCCGCTAAGGACTTGCGGTTGCATGATGCCTACATGAACAGAAGCTCCTCCGGCAATTCTAGATTGTCCACCCCATCAGATCTCAGTGAGTGTGACCCGGAGACAGGAAGGAAGAGGAGATGGAAAGGGTTCAGAGGGTTTCGGCAATGAAATGTCTACATTTTCTAAGCAACTCTTCGAAAACTGCTATCCATAGTTATCAAAATTATGGTTTCTTGCTTTTATCTACTACATTCTTTAGCAGGTGAAAATTTTAACATCTTTTGGATCCCAACCAGTAAAAACCTTCAAATCACAAGATGGTTTCTCTTTCCCAAATCTTTGCTAGTTAAAAGTAGTTACCCTATTATTATAGCCAGTTGCTCTCTGCTACTCCCACTCGGCTTAAAACAGCCAAGACAGCAGCATAAAGGGAAAAACGTTGGCCTGAGTTTCTAAGGGCCCTCCATGCAATACCCATCTGAGTTTGGGATGGCTGTAAATGAGGTGGGGTGTTTGAATGTTTATGAAAGACACCAGATGCAGAGAACCGAAGCTTCAGGGAATGGCACCAGCAAACCCTCCACCCCACCACAGAACCTCCGTGAAATTTAGGAATTCCTAAGGCACACCTTTCACTTGGATTGTTCCTGCAAAAATAACTGAGCTCATCCATTTCATTAAAGACACACGTAGCCGAGTGGTGGTGGTGCTCACCTTTTAATCTCAGCACTTGGGAGGCAGAAACAGGTAGCTGTATGTGAATTCCAGCTCAGCCTGGTCTACAGGGTCTACAGCCAGGACAACCATGGCTACATAGAGAAACCCTCTCTTGAGAAAAAAGAAAACATGGCTGTATTGCAAATCTGTGGAGGATCATCATATTTTGTTTTGTAACATGTGCTATGTTTGCAAGTATGCACATGTGTGAGTACACTCGGATGCTCTTGTCCATGCTTGTGTGTGTGTGGAGCCTCGAGGTTGATGCCAAGGTGTCTTCCAAAATCACTTCTCTGTTTTGCTTTTTGAGTCAGGGTCTCTTACTGAACCTGGGGGCTCAATTTTCTGCTAGAATCTGGCCAGTGAACCTCGAGAATCTGCCTGTCGCCATGTTCACATCAGTGTGCTAGGTGTATAGATGCATGCCACCACACTCCAATTTCTACACGGATGCTGGGGGAGCTCGGGTCATCATGCTCATACAGCAAGCATTTTACCCACGAAGCTCTCTCTTCATGCAAAAATGTCATGATCTTTATTGTGATAAAACTTAACTGTATAGAATTTACCACCTTAAAAATATTTAAGTGTTCAAACTGCAATAATGTCAATTTAGTTCATGGCTAGCCATTTTGACAGGCAAGTGTTGTCTGACTTACTGCTTCAACAAACCAGAAGACAAGTAGTTGTGTATGAATAAATAAAAAGACAGGTAGAAAAATATTTAAGTGTAAACCGGGCATTGGTGGCACACACCTTTAATCCCAGCACTTGGGAGGCAGAGGTAGGCAAATCTCTGTGAGTTCGAGGCCAGCCTGGTCTCCAGAGCAAGTGCCAGGATAGGCTCCAAAGCTACACAGAGAAACCCTGACTAAAAAGAAGAAAAGAAAATGAAAAAGACAAAAAGATTTGGGGTTGGGGTGATACTTCAGTCAGTACTTGCCTTTAAGAGTGAGAACCGGCCAGGTGGTAGTGGCCTTTATAAAGTCCCAGCACTCGGAAGGCAGAGGCAGGCGGATCTCTGTGAGTTCCAGGCCGGCCTGGTCTCCAGAGCCAGTGCCAGTACAGGCTCCAAAGCTACACAGAGAAACCCTGTCTCAAAAACAAAACAAAACAAAACAAAACAAAACAAAAAAATAAGTGTGTATCATTCTTATTATTCTTAGTTCCACTTTTGTCGTTCTTCTGGCTTTCTGTGGATTTTGACAGTTTGCCAAAGGGAGGCACACAACTTTGGGATTCTGCAAACACTAAATCTGTGTTAACCTTTTGATCTATTATCAGGATGACAAAAGTATTTTATTTGCTCTGCAGACATCCCCCCCCCACTTCTGCAGGGAGGGTCATTCAGCCCAGTCTAGCCTCAGGCTTGATAAATAGGCAATAATGACCTTGAATTTCCTGATCCTCTTGTCTTCTACTCCTGAGTGCCAGGAGTGCAAAGATTACAAGTGTACTCCACCATGCCCAGTTTATGTGGCACTGGGTATCAAAACCAGGGCTTCATGCATGCTGGGCAAGCACTCTGCCAGCTGAGCCCCAGCTGTAATCTTGTTAATTCATATGGATCCTCTTTCCCTCCCCCTGCCCTCCCTCCCTCTGTAACCCTGGCTGACCTGGAACTCACTTTCTAGAGCACACTAGAGTAGAACTTCAGCAGCACTCATGCTTCTGACCCCCAAGAGATAGGATTACAGCTGTGTGCCATCATGCCCAGCTCTTACACTAATTCTCATCCAAAGTTGATCAACGGCATCAGCTATTTTTGAGAATTTTCTAAGAAACTGTTTTGAAGGTGTGTAAGCCCATCCCAATCGATATGCAGTACAGATTCTAGTCATTATTCTAGAAAATAGACATATCTAGAAGAGAGAGAAAAGAAAACGAGCAAGGCAGCATATACCTGTTATTCCAACTCACTGGGAAGCTAAGGCAGGAGGATTCAAAGAATTCAAAGTCAGTCTGGGCTAGCTACATAAGAGACCCTACCCCGGAAGACCAGAAGAAGTAAAAGACACATTCAACGCTTGAGAAAACAGAGGACTGTATGGAACAGTTTGTGTTGTTTCTTCAGAAGGGCTCTCATTGTGAGCCTACACAATTTTCAGACTCACAGTCCTCCTGTATGCCATCGTGTCAGACTACAACATAAAACTATAAAATGCCAAGAAAAGGCAATGAAGACAGTAAAGGCCCCCAAAACTATTTACTGGAACTGCCTTAAAATAAAATACCTTGAGTATTCAAAAGGCTATCTGGTGACACAGATCAGTGGTGAAGAACTCACTGAACATGTGCACAGTCTTAGAGGCCATGCTTAGGACAGAAGTCCAAATCTGTTCACGATCTAGGCACACTGGCACATGCCTATATGCCTAACTAATTAGGAGTGAGGCAGGAGAATCAGCTGAGCCCTGTAATTCTCTCTCTCTCTCTCTCTCTCTCTCTCTCTCTCTCTCTCTCACACACACCCACACACACACACCCAAAGAGAAACAACTTTTATTCATGTGCATATTCTCCTGCAACTTTTCCTCCTTCCACTCCCTTTCTTCCCTCTTTATTGAAAATTAATTCTTTCTCATTAAATATATCCTGGTTACAGTTTCCCCCACCTTCCTTCCCATCCAAATCCACCTCCTTTCTGCCTCTCCTTAGAAAAGGCTTCTAAGAGATAACAACAAAACATAACAAAATAAAATATAATAAGATAGCCAAGCACACGCTTTTAATCCCAGCACTCGGGAAGCAGAGGCAGCTGTGAGTTTGAGGCCAGCCTAGTCTACTGAGCAAGTTCCAGGACATTCTCCAAAGCTACACAGAGAAACCCTGTCTTGAAAACCAGTGTATATTAAGTAAAAATTAAACAAGACAAAACAAGAGAAGGAAGAGAGCCACAAAAATCACCCACTCATTCACACACTCAGGAGTCCCATAAAAATACTAAATACTAAAGCTGGGCATTGGTGGCACACACCTTTAGTCCCAGCACTTGGGAGGCCAAGGCAGGTGGATCTCTGTGAGTCCAAGGTGTCCAAATTGAGTTCCAGGACAGGCTCTAAAGCAATACAGAGAAACCCTGTCTCAAAAAACATAACCAAAAAAATACTAAATACTTAAAGCTATACTATATATGCAAAGGGAGGACCTGAAGCAGACCCATGTAAGCCCTGTGCTTGCTGCTTCAGTCTCTCTGGGTTCGTGTGAACTTTGTTTAGAGGGCCTTGTTCTCCTGGTGTCCTCCTTCCCTTCTGTCCACCATCCTCTTCCACAGGGTTCCCTGAGCTCTGAGCAGAGGGGTTTGATGGAGACATCCCATTAAGATCTGTGTATTCTGAGGTCTCTGTGTGTAATGTAATGAACCCAGTAAATCTAACACCATCCTGGACAACACAGCAAGACCTCAAACTCAAAATATAAATATGGGGCCAGAAGGAGGGACCAGTGGGTAAAGGGGCTTGCCAGAGGAGCAGCAGGTGGCAACTGAAGTTCCAGGAGTCGGTGCATCAGGAGGAAACTCTCTGATGGACCAGTCTGCTTTAGGCAAGGCCATAGGACTGCAGACTTCGGAATGTCCTTTGCTTCTCTTGTGCCTTTACATGTTTGCTGCAACTCTCTTTCTCTGGTGTCTAGCATGGTGTGAGTGGATGTGGGAAGATCTCCACTGCCTGTAATATAGTGCGCTTATCTCTGGGAAACATCCTGTTCTACTGGGCATTTTTACATATGGATTGTCAAGAAGATGACCCCTCCCTAATCCGCACTGTCTAAATTGAGAGTAATAATGATAACCTATACAGAGTTTTGATGAATAACAATAAATACAAGGATATGTTTCACAGCCAGGCCCTGTGAGTCTCACCTAAGGAGCTGCATAGATTGTAGCTCAAGTAAATGATTAACAATTGAGTCCTAGTAGCCCAGATAGTTTGAATTCTTTTAATCTTAATGTTGGGAGATGTGTCCACAGGTTTCAGAGTGCATCACAACTGAAACAAAGCTTTGAAAATAACAGACTAAGATGTTTTTGTTAAATAGCTTTGAGTTCAAAAGATCAAAAAGACAATCTAAAGTTTTAGAAAGGCACATAATTGAATTCCGAACTCATTAAGGTCAAGAAAAAGAACAATGCAGTCCAATTTTCATTGATTGATAGACGTTTATTGGTAGGACTGGTTGATGACCAAAGGTGATGATTATATCCTTATACCCATTTCTGCTCACAACCTCCTGATATTAAAAAATATATATATTAATGAGTGGATATGTACCCCTAAAGATTTAAAGTAGAGCTGAGTGATTCTTTTTCATATATAAAAGTTTAGGTTTATGATTCCTTTAAGACTTCTTATAAGACTACCTTTCAAGATAAGTAATAAAGTAATTGGCCCTTTCTTTGTAACTGTAAAATGCAACCTTCCAGGAAAAAAAAAAACTGACAAGAATAACTT